TTAAAATTATAATCAACTAAAAATTTAATGATTCTTATATTTCTATAGGCATGAACCTATTGTTCATTTGGGAAAAGAATAAAGGATATTTAAGCAGCTTTGTCATGCATGTACTTAAAATTATATAACAGCTGTGTGGCCCAATGTAAAGTGTCAAAGTGCACAGCACCATCCCTCACAAAACCAGGTGCATTCAAAATTCCATCTATAATCTTTTATCTTTAGGAGGGAAAGCTGTGCAACATGTGTTTTTGTCCCCATATCTTACTCTAATGTTTTTATTTAACTTAAGACACCAGTGAGTAACAGGGCTTCTGCCCTGCATTCTTTCCCATAAACTTAATTCTTCCCATATGTATCTTTTTCCATTAAATCCAACCATTCTCTTACCATTAATGTAATCCCCTGCAAATGACGTCTGCCAACTTAAGTCATATTTAGGACGTCCCCTGGGAGGGTACCATATTTTTCCTTTTCCCATTTTATAACCCATGTAACCATTTACCCAGATTGTGGGAAGAGGATGGGGATTTCTATTATTTATTAATTTCTCCGGTAAAAACAATTGCTCATGGCTACTCATAACCAGTGTTTTTAAAACATCCGTTGGCATAATTAATGGACTCAGAAGGGACAATTTGGAATTGTTCAGTCTTCCCGGATCTTTTTGTGGGATAATCTAATGTTATGACAACAACTGTTTGTGTGTCATTTTCTGCGTCTTTTGGAAACTCAGGAAACTGCCACGCTGACCAGAACATCAAAAGAGAAAGCAAAAGCCGCACCACTGTGCCGAGGCAGAGATCTTTACAGTGAAAGCAAGTGCTGGTAGCCGTGGCCCTGCCAGCAGCTCTCCCTCCGGCGGCCTTGCCAACTCGGAAAAGGCAGCCCAAGCTATTCTTTTCAAGACCCTGCCATGGCGTGGACTGCGCCAGGGTGGTGGTATAGGACCAGGGGCAGGCACATCTGAGAATCTAAGTTTTGGACTCTAAAGTCAACTAGAAGGACAAAGAAGGAACCCAGGAGCCAATGCTGAGGAAGAGCGTCCAGCCCTGAGGTTAGAGAGACCAGCGGAGCCCGGTCAGTGTCAGCCGAGGGAGCGCCTCCTCCGAGGTGGGGCTGCCTGCTCCCCATGTATCCCGAGTGGCCAGCACCTGCCCGTGGCCCCGGCTGCGTGTGAGGAGGACCGTGGGCCCCTCATGCCTCCCGCAGTGGCCTGCCCACCCTCAGCGGCCTCTCCTGCTGAGGGTGTCGACTCCACCCCTCTCCCCATCCACCGACACTGCGGGCTCCGGCCGTCTTCCCTCACGGCGCCGTCGTCTCGGCACACAGGCATCCATGCACACTTGCACAATACGTGCACACCCCCTGTGTACATGCAGTCCCACTTACAGTCTACACAGAGACGTGCAAACCTGTGCTCACTGTGCACACACCATCTCTCACACACACGCACCATGACAGACTCGTTACAGAACATTGGCACTGCCACCTACTTCAAGGTAGAAGCTGGGGGTGTCAGGTTGGCAGAGTACCCCGCTTGGCTGCGGGGTGAGGAGTTCCCTGTCCTGTGTGCCCTGGACAGCAACGAGGCAGGTGGGCCTGGTGGTGTAGGGCTCTGCCTGGAGCCCTCCGTCTGGCGCTCAACCTCAGTGGGGGGGGAGGGAGGGGCAACATGTGCTTCAGGCACATGTGGGTGTCTATCACCTGTTCCATGTCACGGAGCCCCCGGAGCCACCCTTGCCCTTCTGTGGACAGGGTAAAATGCCTGCTTTGTGGCGTTGCAAAGCACCCGACATGGCTCAGTGAATGCTCACTCCTCGGCAAGTTCAGGACAGTTGCGAGATCAGGCCAATGGGGAACAAGGGCACTGCCTTGGGGACTCTGCAGGAGCAGTCGCGGTGGGAGCAGCACAAGGGAGGAGGCGCAGTTTGGGAAGGGGCTGGGGCGTCCTCCCAACAGAGCCTGAGGAAGGGACGGGCCAGGGGAGTGGGGGGAAGTGTTCCAGCCCAGGACAGGCTTGCGGTGTCCAGGAAGAGCAAGAGGGTCCTGAGGCAGAGCCTGGGGAGGAGGGCACTCCTTCAAGTGCTGGGGACCTGGGGGCCGTGAGTGGAGGCACGTGGTGTGCAAGACGGGCCACCACCCTCAGCCCTGTGGCCTGGCAGCTAGTCCTTGTGGTGAAGGGCCTTCCCTGGGCAGAGAAGAGCAGGAAGGTCATTCTTACGGTTCTGACCATGTGGAGCCTCATGGGTCAGCTTCCAGCTAAGAGATTTGCTTGCCTTCAGGAAAACTCCCCAAGACCCCCTGGCCACCAGCCCTGCAGATCTGGGTTCTGAGGACATGTGCAGTTCTGCTTGGGCCATCCCCCCTTCTTTTGGACCTGTCTTGTGTTTCCTTTTGCAGCCTGGATTGTCCTGGCACTGCATATGGCTTCCCAGGCTGTTCCTCTGTGAGGCCAGGTGCGCACGTCACTAACTCAGGGCGGAGACTGTCAAAACCCCCGTCGTCGTCCTCTGTGTGATGGCATGCTGACCGGGGTGGCTGGTCGCACCACACAGGTGCAAGGCCTCAGCTGGACGGTGCTGGAGTGGGTGTTGTGGGGTCCCTAGGGGAGTGAGGGCGGAGAGTCTGGAGCCAACCCTGTCACCTGCCAAGCCTGGGGTCTTGAACAAATGACAGCATGGTGCCACGCTTACGCTCTTCATCTAGGAAAAGGAGCTCACAGTGATCCTGCGACTGTTTCTTATTAGGCCTCAGTGTGATGGTGAAGCACTGAGCACAGGCTGGGGAGGGTGGAGTGTGTTGACAAGGCTTGACACATGGCTTCGCGTCTCCTCTGCTCAGGACTTCTCCTGTCCCCCATGTGCAGGTCCCGGAGGAGAGTGGCTGCCACACCACCACGAACTCATCCCTCGTGTCCCTGTGCTCAGGCCTGCGCCTCTTCTCCAGCCTCGACGATGGCACTGGCTTTGCTTTTCCTGAGCAGGTCATCGCCGTGTGGGCCCAGGAGGGCATTCATAGTGGCAGGGAGATCTTGCAGGTTTGGAACTGGTCACTCATGGCTGCCACAGCGGTCGTAGGGCTGGGCAGGGCATCTGGGGGGCTGTCTGCCCGCAGAGGAGGGTGGACGGAACTCCTCATGTGAGAGATGCGGCAGGGGCACATGTTCTGTGCAGAGAATCCCATGTAGGAAAGTCTGGGTGGAAACGTTTTCTAAAATATAGGAAATTTTAAATTAATAAGATAATAAAAAGTACCGAGGAAACAACAGCCTGAAAAAAATCCATTTGCAGGTAGGTTTTAGTATTTTAGACATTTCCCCACCCCCTGCCAGGCGAAGGAGGTGCGTCCTGCAGGTGAGTGGAGAGAACCCCCCTTGGTGAAGCTGTGTGCTTAGGCATCACTGCCGCAGACGTTCCTGACGAGCTCACAGGGAACTGGCAGTCCTCCCGGATCGTGCCCAGCTGGTGCTGCCCACAGCGCCCCCCTCGCCCCCCGCCCCAGACCTTCCCGCCCTGGCATTGCTCCTCCTCACATGTTCCTCCACATTGTTCTGGGTGCCCAGGGGGCTGTCCTCACACAGGGGCGGCTCTTGACGGGTCATGTTCCCCCAGGGACACAGGACCTGCCCTTAGGATTTGGAGGGACTCCGCCCTGGGGTGGCAAAGTCCAAGGCACCCAGGGGCTGGGCGTGGCTGAGGGAAGACCACCTCAGGGAAGTACGGCGAACTAGATTTACTCTTTTCGTTTCCAAATTTCTCTTTCCATCGTTAAATAAAAAAAAAGTGAACTGTATAAAAATCTATAGAGTAAAGAAAGCTTACCCTACTTTGCTCCCATTCCCCAGAGGGTGTGGCAGCTGATGACTTAGTGGGCATCCTGCCGAGTTCTTCTCTGACACATGAAAAGACATATTTATACGTGCTGGTTTCTTTTCTTTTTTTTAAATTGGTAGCATGTATCTTGCTAATTTATGTGACCATGTGACCTTTTCCCCATTATGGGACATGCAGGTTTTTCCAGTCTGTTCCTATTGGAAACCTCAGCATTTATAATACAAAATACCCTCATGCTCTTACGCTGGTATTTCTCTGTAGTGTACACTCCTGAAGTTACGTATTTTAACTCTTGATAGGCTTTGTCATTATTGCCCCCCAAAATGTCCCTATTACTACAAACCAACAGTACGTGAAGGAGCAGTAAGACAGCCTTTAAAACAATCCATCTGACTCTTTGGGCGGAGACCGTCCTGGGCAAGTCCCCCAGGACGGCAAAGCCAGACCCAGACAACTGGCCCTCGGGATTGTACTGAAAGCTAGAGACTGAGCTGGGATCACCAAAACGTGCACACAAGGAGGGCAAAAAGCAGAGGTGCTCGTGGCTCTGAGCTTCCCTGTGGCACCCCACTCACGATTCCTGGGCATCTGGACGTGCCCGGCTGCCACTGCGCCCCGATCAGCACTGCTTCTCTGTCTGGTCCCTGCCATCTCAAAACTTGCTCTTCGTACTCTTTCCCATTATCAGTCACAATGGTGCTGCTCGTCCTGGCCCCACAGTGTGGGAGAACCTGGGCTGGTTCTCTCAGTCCCTAACAGGTTGTCACTAAAGCGTGCCCTGCAACTTAACCAGCATTTCTTGTCTCACGCAGTGTTTGTGGTCAGGAATCTGGGAGCAGCCTGGCAGGTGGTCCTGGTTCTGGCTCAGGCTCCCTTGTGAGGTTGTCATCAGCCCACCATTCACGGCGAGTCTTCCAGTGGCCCCACTGGGGCTGGGGTCAGCTTCCTGGATGGTGTGCCCACGCTGCTGGCAAGCCGGTGCTTGCTGCGGGCGAGGCATCTGTCCCTGGCTGCTGGAGCACCCTTGCAGCGTGGCAGCTGCTTCCCCAGAGTGAGGGTCCGAAAGCCAGGGGGAGGCCATGAGTGTCATGATCTCACCCTGCCTGTCACACCATCACCTCCTCAGTGTTCTAGGAATTAATGTGACAGGGAAAACCAGAGTGACCAGATGTGTGGAGTTCCCCCCACACACCAAGCAAGTGATGACACAGCGGATTCTCCAGCGGACACCAGCTGAGTGTCCTCTGATTTAATCCAGTTCTGACACTGTCTACCTGGAGGTAGCTTCAGACCCCACCGTGAGGGCTCAGTCCCACAAGACGGCCCCCACCTCAGATGCCAGTGTCAAGTAGTAGGTTGTCCCCTGTGCTTCTGACTCACCAGCTATATATGAGTGTCCCCACAACTGCCTCCTCAGGCTCAACTGATGTGCTGAGCGGCCCACAGAACCCAGGGAAACATGTACTTATGTTTACAGGTTTATTATAAAGGATACTACAAAGGACACAGATGGAGAGATGCATGTGGGAAGGGGCACAGGGCTTCTGTGCCCTCCCCTGGCACGCCACCCTCCAGGAACCTCCACGAGCTCAGCTGTCCAGAAGCTCCCCAGACCCTGTCCTTCGGGCTTTGAGGGAGGCTCCATTACAGAGGCACTGGCGATGCGCTCGACCATCAGCCCCTCTTCCCTTCCTAGAGGTTGGAGGTGGGGCTGAAAGTCCCTACCCTGTAATCCTGGCTCGGTCTTTCCAGTGACCGGCCCCTTGTGAAGCTGCCCGAGGGCTGCCAGCCTCCGTCACTCATCAGCATTCAAAACACAGACGTACTGCTCTGGAGACTCCGAGGGTTTGAGGGGCCACCTGGCAGGAAACTGACCATGGGCAGCTGCGTGTTTCGTAGTGTCACAGACATACAGGCCAGCCTCGTGGGAGGGGAGTTCCCAGGCAGAGCAGAGCATTGGCCGCCTCAGGCCACCACCCCCCCACACACACACATGCCAAGGTGGCTTTCGTCACTTCTCAGCACCCACCCGATGATACCGTTGCTGGAAGTCTGCACTCGTGGGATGACAGTGTCAGCCTCCCAGATTGCTGCCCGGGCTTCACACGCAGTGCCCCTTCTCTTCAGGAGCACGGGGGTGGGCACAGGAGTGGCCCTGATGCCACTGTGTGTGCTGGTGTGCCATGGCGCCTGCGCTGCCCACGGGTGTGACTGTAACTTTCAGAAGTCACAGCAGGAGGCAGGAGTCAAGAACACTTGATGCTAGAGGAGCTTATGGGTGTCCACTGTTCTTTTTTTTTTGTGCTAAAATACTCATGATTGTTCTGTTCTTTTAACTTTATTTTTAAGTTTGTTTTTCCATATCCTGGGGGAGGAATGCTCCTTTCTGGATCGCTTCATGTCCATGGCTCCCTCCTCTGACAGATCTTCTTCTGCAAACAAAATCATTCATCCATACAAGTATTTTATAGAGATGTGTTAATCACGATTCTCTTAGGTTGCAATGGCAAAAGCCCAACTCAAAACGGCTTAACTAGAAGGAGAATGTAGGAGGAGGCGGCAGGGGAGGCCCTAGTGGGCGTCCTGGGACAGAGGCGTCAGGGGAGGCCCGAGTGGGCGTCCTGGGACAGAGGCGTCAGGGGAGGCCCGAGTGGGCGTCCTGGGACAGAGGCGTCAGGGGAGGCCCGAGTGGGCGTCCTGGGACAGAGGCGTCAGGGGAGGCCCGAGTGGGCGTCCTGGGACAGAGGCGTCAGGGGAGGCCCGAGTGGGCGTCCTGAGACAGAGGCGTCAGGGGAGGCCCGAGTGGGCGTCCTGGGACAGAGACTTCAGGGGTGGCCCGAGTGGGCATCCTGGGACAGAGACTTCAGGGGTGCATTGCAGGTCAGGCTCAAGTGATGGCGTCAGGACTCCCTCTATCTCTGCTCTGCTTTCCTCTTGGTGGCGTCAGCTGCAGGCCAGACCTCCTCACTTGGGGCTTCCCGAGGCTCACGCAGTCCTTCCAGGAGCTGATTTCTGAGGGGAAAAAGGCCTGGCTCCCAGCGTCCACGTCAATCCCATGAGGGGCTTGCTGAGGACGAGGCTCTGCCTGTGTCTCACACTCTGTCCAGCCCGGATCACACTCACTGAGGCAGGGACGTGGGACCACAGTGTTGACAGGGATGGGGGCACCAGGGTTACATGCAGGTCAAGGAGGGGCCCCTCCCGAGAGGCAGAGGCTTTGGCAGAAAAAAAGGGCAGGTGCTGCCCACGATAGCCCACATGGGTCAGAGTCCCTGGACTGTCCTTAGGAGAATAAGGAGTTGTATGTTTGGAGAAGTCCCTCATCCTCTGTGCCCACTGGGGCTTCCTGCTTCTAGAGCCTGGACTTCAGTGTGGATGAGAAGGTGAACCTCCTGGATCTGACCTGGGCCCTTGACAATGAGCTCATGATGGTTGATGGTGTCATCCAGCAGGCGGCCCTGGCCTGCTACCGCCAGGAGCTGAGCTACTGCCAGTAAGAGCCCACGAGGGATGGGGGGCATGGGGGCATGCTGGCCAGGCTGGCCTCAAGGGGAGCCTGGGACACCCTGGACGCTGGGCTGCCTCCCTGCCCTGTGTGCATTCACCACGAAGGCCAGTCCTGGGGCCGGGGCTCCATTCCCCACCTGTCCCAAGCTCTCCGGCCCTTTCAGCGGGTGCTCAGGGTGGGACGAGAAGGGAGCGTGGGGCAGGTGAGCGATGTCTATGTGTCTGCGCTGGCGGGGCCTAAGTGGACTGCTGGGTGGCCGCCTGCTCAGGTTTTCCCTCGAGCTTGGTGAGAAGCTCAGGATCTGTATGTTGAGGTCCTCACCTAGTAGTCCCTTTTTGTGAGGTTCCAACGAGAAGGACTTGATCCTTGTCCTGCTGGTGTGGGAGCCCAGAGGTGAGAAGGCGGAAAACTTCCAGTCGGCCAGGGACGTGCTTCGTAGAGCAGTCAGAGGCTCAGGCCAGCTGGCAAAGAGGAAAAAGGAGTGCTTTTCAAACGTGGTCGCAAAGTGTGCAGTGAACGTTGGCCAAGAATACACTCCATTTTGACTGGGTTCGGCTTTGGTTTAGCCTCTATCTGCTGAGCAGATTTGTATAAAGATTACTTTTGTGTTTTTATTGATGTTCTGAAGCTGCAGAAAAGATTGGCAGAAATCACAATCTCGATCCTAAAGACTTTCCATCTTGTTAGGTGCTGACAGATGAGCCCGCTGACCTCAGGCACCTCTGCCAGCAGAGCCAGAGAAGGGCTTGCCCAAGTCCCTCCCTTGACCTCGAGAGCAGAAGGGAGTCACCTGAAAAGCAGTGCCACAGATGATTGCACAGAGCCTTGGCTGAGGCCTTGGAGTCACATACACGAATTGCCTTCTGCTCTGGGTGACTCGGATGCCAGGCTGCCAGGCACGGGGCTGTGGTTGGCAGGGATGACAGGCAGCCAGCCTTCTCCCCTCCACACATCCACTCCCAGATCAGGTGCTGAGGACTCAAGCTGTCCACAGCAGTGCACAGAACGGTTCTCATACCTAAGAGATGTGGCAATCACAGTATTCAGGCTCAGATTTCCTGGGTTCATAACTTTCTAGAAACTGCCCTTGACAAGTCATTTGCCAGCGCACCCCCCCGTCCCAATACACATACCTGTAAGATGGGCACAGTGATTGTAGAAACCGCCTTAG